AGGAAGAGGAGGAGGGTGAGGAGAGAAGTAGGAGGAAGAGAAGGAGAAAAGAAAGGAGGATTTTATAGAGAAAAGGTGAAGAAAGAGGAGGAGGAGGAGGAAAGGAGGGATTATTTTATGGAGAGAAGGATGAAGAGAAGGGTGAGGGGTTATTTTATGGAGAGAAGTAGGAGGAAGAAAAGGACAAAGAAAGGGGGATTTTATGAAGAAAAGGCAAAGGAAGAGTAGGAGGAAGGGGGGATTATTTTATTAAGAGGAGGAAAAGGAGAAGGAAGAAAGGGCGATTTTATGGAGAGGAAGGGGAAGAGAAGGAGGAAGAAAGGGGGATTTTATTGAAAAAAAGGTGGAGGAAAAGGAGGAGGAAGGGGGGATTATTTTATGGAGAGGAGAAGGAAGAGGAGAAGGAAGAAAGGGTGATCTCATGGAGAAAAGATGAAGGAAGAGGATGGGAAACGGGGGTTATTTTGCAGAGGAGAAGAAGGAGGAAGGGGGGTTTATTTTGAAGCATCTGTCTCGCCTTCCATTTCCTCCTTTTCTTTCTCCAGCTGCCATCAAGCTGCTCTCTCTGGCAGCAACTTCCTTTCTCCTTCTCTCGGAGCAGACGGAGACTTATGGGGAAGTAGAAAACAGAGGCTGGGAGGGGGGAAACTGAGGCCAAACCACCATCCATCCGTCTGTCCGGCCCGCGGCGGGGGCCAGGGCACATCACATGCTTCCTGCCCCGCCATCAGGAGGACAAAGTCGCTCTGAGAGGGAGAAAAAACTCCACGGGACGATTCCGATCCGATGTCGGGCTCGGGATCGGCAAAAAACGGCCCCAAAAAGTCTCAAATCTTTCCCTGCTCCAGGAGAAGATCAGCCAGAGTTGGGAAGTTTCACACCCAGGTTTTGCCCCGGGTGGGATCTGCCCTCTCCAAAGGGATTAATCTTTCCAGGAACGGAGGAATTTCACCCTCCGGGGCGCAGGGTTGGCAGGAGGGACGGGCGATGCTCGAAGCCAAGTGCAGCCATGGGGCACCCGGCCCTGCCCTGGCACGTGGGTCCGTGACAGCCCCACGGGGGTGGCTCCGGTGCCTTCTCCCGGYTCCCGTTATCCAGCACCCA